CAATCAAATAAATAAATAATATCTTCAAAAAAAAAAAAAAAAAGTGGAAATTCAAAGGGTCAGAAATAATGAAGACACTCCTAAAGAAAATTGTAAGGTAGTACTTGAGAAGATATGAGGAAGCTATAGTTAAATCCATGTTACACTGTATGGAGATAGAAATGGAATACTGAGTAGAAAACAAATGAACTATTTATTAAATGGACATGTGGCAATTGATTATCTCTAAAGAATAAAATTGGATTCTTTCCTCATACTTACCAAAAAGTCACTTCTAAGTAGAATCAAATTAAGTACAAAGGAGAAAAACTATAAAACTTTAGAAGACAATGTGGGACAATATCTTTATGACCTCAGGGAAGGATTATTTCTTACGATATAAAAAGCAGAAAATATAAAGGAAAAGATTAATAAATCAGGACTACAGTTATGGTAAAGATATCTGTTTGTCAAAAACAAGCCTTAAAGTAGGAGTTATTTGTGACACATAACTTCCGTAGGGTTAAAATACAAAAAATATAAAGAACTCTTACAGGGTGCCTGGGTGGCTCAGTCAGTTAAGTGTCTGCCTTCGGTTCAGGTCATGATCTCCGGGTCCTGGGATCCAGCCACCCTATGATGCTCCCTGCTCTGTGGGAAATCTGCTTCTCCCTTTCCCTCTGCCCCACCCCCAGCTTGTGCTCTCTCATTCTCTCAAATGAATGAATAAAATCTTTAAGAAAAAAAAAAAAGAACTCTTACAAATCAATAAGAGGCAGGCAACCTGGTGAAACATTACACCAAAGACAGGACTAGACAGGAAAAGGCATGTCACAGAAGAAACCCAAATGGCTCGTAAACATTCAAAAAGATGCTCAGTCTTTCTGGCGATCAGGGCGTTGCAAATTGAAACCACATTGCCATTTATCACCCACTAGATTGGCAAATGTTAAAATATCTGACAATAGTAAGGGTTAGCCAGAATGCGGAGATTTAGGAAGTCTCTCACACAGCTGACAGAGTGGAAATTAGTGTAACCACTTTGTAAAAACAAGTTGGCAGTGCCTACTAAAATTGAATGTGCATAACTCACGATTGGATAATTCCACTCTGATGAAACTCTTACACATGTCCACCAGGAGACGTGGACAAGAAAGTTTATAGCCACATGGTGAGTGAGAGCGAAAAGATGGAAACAACCCAAATGTTCATCAGCCATGGAGTGGATATATAAATTATGATGTAATTAAGCAGCGAAATACAATCCGTTGATGAAAAAATGTAGGACTTACAGTTACATGAATCAATACGGATGATCCGTAACGTAATTTTAAGTGAAAATAGCAAGTTGCAGAAAAATATACCTAAGTCTATATAGATTTTAAACATGTGTTAAATAAATCATGTATTACTTGTACATAATTGCTGAAATGGTAAAATCAAAGACATGATTAATACAAAATCCAGGATCTAGGTTACCAGGAGAGGAGCAGGTGTGGTGGGGGAGGCGGCTGTTAGTGTAAGATCCCCCAGCAAGCTTGAGTGACTGCCGTGTTTCTCTTTCTCAGGCAGAATCATGGGTAAGTGGATATTTGTTTTATAATTTTTTAAACTGTACATACACATTTTATACATTCTGATACAGTTTTTAAATATTATAACCTGTAGTATTTTTAAGAGATAGTAGGACATGTTTTCAAATTAGGTAATGTGGATTATTGAAGATGCACAGATTTTGAAAATCATCACCTAAGAGTCTGTTGGGAGGAGTTTTCCTTTTTCAGGTTAAGGCTTCTTCATGTATTTATTAGTTTGTGAGTTCAAGTGACAAGAAAGGTACAGAGACGTTAAGTGGTGTCTCTGGCAGAGTGGCTTAAACGAGGTCTGTGGAAGGCACCGTCCCTGCACCTGGGCCACTTTTCTTCCTTCCTCACTTCTGTAAATATTTAGTGACCGACTGCCAAGTCCTGGGCATTGTCCTAGGGGCCCAGAAGTCAGAGAGGCCATGTGCCTAGCTTGGAGCTTCTAGCAGTTTTCGGGTTCATGCTTACAGGTTTTGTTAATCTTAGCCTCCTAAACTAACGAGATAGCAAAATTCACTTCAGGTCTGTATCATAATTTACTCTTTCTTATCGTTTTAAGGAAGTCATTTATTTACATATTTAGACAACCTAGTTGAATGCATTATCTGTAAAATTTTCAGATTAATATATCCTTTTTGGTCTGGTCCTAGCCCAGTTAATATTCTAATTCCTGTATATATTTATTTTCAGTTTTTTCCCTTTCTGTGCATCTCAAAACTCTTGATATGTTCTAATTCTTTGGAATTGACTTTGATGTACTAATTTTACCTTTCTGTGTATATTTTTGAGACTCAAAGTTGGATCTGATCTTAAACCTTGACTTTAAAGCAGCATTTTCAAAAGCATTACAAGCATACTGCTAGAGATTATAAGGTGATACGAAGGGAAACATTATTTATTTTAATAGTCATGTGATTAATTTAATTTATAATTTTATTATAAATATACATATGAAACCTGCGGTTTCATGGTTGTTTTTGCTCAGGATGCAATTAAGTCAAGTCTCTCTGATAATCCATCTCGCATAGACTGCGTGAACTAATGGCCCAGCTGTTCTCAGACACAACAAAACATGAAATTAATATCCGGACTACAGATGTAGTGTTTAGTTATAACGGTGAATCAAAGTATTCTCTAATGTCCTCTGTCTCCTACTTGTGTTGTAACTCAGAAAATAAGCATACGTGGTTTGGTCAGGAAGAAGCAATCTAGAAAATTCATCTAGGCAAATTGTTCAAATAATATATTTTGTTATAGGACAGGGTCTGGACATAAAGATAAATGAGACCTAGACCCTGCCTTTCAGGACCACCAGTTTCACAGAGATAGGCACGTAAAAAGTACACCATAGTGTGGAAAGCGCAATTGTGGAAACGTCCATGGTAAACCGGTAGCTGGGAAATGTGGTCTCTGACTTACGGAGCCAGGAGGAAAGCCTGCCCAGGGCAAGGCTTCAAAGTAGTCTTGAGAACGGAGCAGGAAACTTGCAGAAAAATAGACCAGCAGAGGGCAATATCAGAAAGGCCTATGCCAAGGTACAGAGACCTACAGGAACATGGCCTTTGGGCCAAATGACGTCTCATCATTGATGCTGGTGTGAGGAGAGGTGGGAGCCAGATATGAAGGCTTTTGTAAGGACTGTGATGGTGTGCATTTAGATCTTATTCTGTAAGGGATTATCAGCCTTTGAGAGGTGTTAGGAAGAAAAGTGACACACGGTCTGGGGCAGTGTAGAAAACAGAAGGATTAAGTCACATTTCAGCCCATCATCTGGTAAAAGGAGGATATGGAAACCACTTAGAGGGAATGTTTAGAGTTTCTGCCTTATATGACTTTTAGGAAATTAGGCTTCATTTAGATTTTGCCCAGAATTTAATGTGTTGAAGGGGTTAGTGATAGGTGATTTGGAGCCAATATATGAAGTTTCTGAAGAAATTGATATTATTCAGTCTGTATATTAAAAAGGTATTAACTTTCCCTACATAGTCTTTTTTTTCTTTTTCTTTTAAGATATATTTTAGGAAGAGTGAGCCAGAGAGAGCAGGGGGGAGAGAGGGAGAAGAAGAATGCTCAGTGCTCAGTGCTCAGACTCCATGCTGAGCGCAGAGCTCAACATGGGGCTCAATCCTATGACCCTGAGGCCATGACCTGAGCCAAAATCAAGAGCCAGATGCTTAACTGACTGGGCCACCCAGGTGCCCTGTCTTTCTCTACCTAGTCTTTTTTTCCCCCTTAAAGATTTTATTTATTCGTTAGAGAGAGCACAAGCACAGGGAGAGGCAGAGGCAGAGGGAGAAGCAGGCTCCCCACTGAGCAAGGAGACTGACGTGGGGCTCCATCCCAGGACCTGGAGATCATGACCTGAGCTGAAGGCAGCGGCTTAACCATCCGAGCCACCTGAGCGCCCTTCTCTACATAGTCTTAAAGGCAAAGACAGTTTGCTTATTTTGTGTGTTTAACACATGCGAGCAGCATGTAAAAGTTCAGTGGAGATGCAGTACTGATATGACACACAACGGCAAACAAGTTCTGTTTTTCAGTTAGAGTGGGACATACGGCAGTACGCTGCAGAGTGAGTAGAATGAAATATTTACACCTTTTTGCAGTTAATATCCTTCCAAGGAAGTCTCAACAACCCTGTTATTTAAAGGGAATTGGGTGGGCGATCGTATCAGGGTATGATGAGCCTCCTTTATATATGGGTTTCTGATGTGAGTATTCTGAATAACTTAATTGTGGCATATTGTTTACTTTTGGGCATATTTACTGTTAAATCTGATCTCACTAGTCTTTGGATTTGCTGTATATTGTTCTACCTTACAGAGAAATGTATTAGTATGCCAGCTTATTCTTGTACCTTCGTGAATTTATAGTCACAGGTCTGATGCTGACTGCCTGTGGGTGTGAGGGCACTCATCTGTGTCTGTATACATAGCCAGACCCTTAGCACCAAATGTTCTGCCTCATGTTTATTTTGGGAATATTCTCTTAATAGGCACGTTTTGGGATGTGACTTAGTCAGCTAATTTGCTAACATTCAAAAGCCATGAGCTCTCAGCATTATCTTAGCCTTTTAGTATTTTAGTCCAGCAAAAATTTCTGACTCTGATTGGGAAATTAACTATAACATCTTACCAAAAATGATCCAAAAGCATCAAAAGAGAGAGTTCATGCAAAGGGTACAGAGAGATGTTCACAAGGGAAGTTAACATTAACTTAAGAGTGCATAGTAGAAAGGAGGGAGTAAGCATAGAAATGAAGGACCACAAGTGACCTTGGAACAACCGAAGGTTCCTTTCTCTAGGTCCAAATAATGTTGATTATAATGCATCTTAGGTTCTATTTCAAAATATATTTTCTGCAGTTCTTGTCACCAAGTTCTTTTTCATTCTTTTGAAGATTTAATTTCTTATTTCCTTATTTTCTACTTTGACACAGAAATCCCCTGCAAAGAAGCTGAGCCATGCAATTAGTAAATCTTTGGGGTGCGTGCCCACCAGAGAACCCCCGCATCCTGTTTTTCCTGAGCAACCAGAGAAACCACTTGACCTTGCAAATATAGTGTAAGTATACACCTAGGGATGGATGTGGGTTATACTGAAATGGACCTTGCTGAATCCTTTTGTATAAAAGCAACTTCACGTAACATGAACATTGAACCTTCTGGTTTTTACTTTTCTTTTGGGGAACTCAGGACCTCAAGATTTCATTTCTTTAAGTCACCATAAATATTTACATGGAAGCTTAGCTGCTGAGCCCAGAGCCTAAGTAATTAATGATCTCAAACAGAAACATTAATTAATATATTGAAGAGTAATTATTGAACTGCTTTTAGCAAGGTTGCCTTTTTTTGTTTGTGTGTTCTTCCATAATCAGTGGTAGAGATCCTTTCTTCACTGCAGCAGTAATGCCCATAGTTATTTTTATAATTAGTTTGGGCAACATGGAATTGAAAATCAACTTCATTTGCTTCTTTGTATTGAGAGAAAATTAGGAAACATAAGATTGTATTCTATAAATAAAACTAGTGTTTTATTTTTACTTTCTTTGAATATTCATGCTAAATGAAAGAAATTCAGACAGGAACCAAAAAGAGAAGTAGAGAAAGAGGAAGAATAAGGAGAAGGAGAAATAAGGAAGTGTTAAGATTCAGCCTCTAAACTAAGATTCTTTACTCTGAATTAAATGGTGATGTTACGTGTCCTCCTGGATAAAGTCAATAGCGGTTTTGTTTTGTTTTTAGAGAGGGGGCAAGGGCAGAGGAGAGAGAGAATCTTAAGCAGGCTCCACATCCAGCAAGGAGCCTGACACAGGGCTCGAGCTCACAACCCTGAAATCATGACCTGAGCTTAAATCAAGAGTCAGATGCTTAACCAACTTAGACACCCAGGTGCCCCAAAGTCAGTAGGTTTTGTTTTTTTTTTTAAAGATTTTATTTATTTATTTATTTGACAGGCAGAGATCACAAGTAGGCAGAGAGGCAGGCAGAGAGAGAGAAGCAAGGAAGCAGCCTCCCCGCTGAGCAGAGAGCCCGATGCGGGGCTTGATCCCAGGACCCTGGGATCATGACCTGAGCTGAAGGCAGAGGCTTTAACCCACTGAGCCACCCGGGCGCCCCATCAGTAGGTTTTTGATCATTATTAGTCTTTATTGGGCGTTGACAGGTTTTTTTGTTGGAGTGGATATCTGTTTTCTTTTATCTTCCTCTAAAACACTTAGGGTTCTTGATCTTTTATTTTCTTTCTCATTCAATAATTTGAAAGACTTTTATTAAAATAGTATATACATATAAATTAGAAATTTAATAATACAAAAAAACATATAATAAAATACAGCACATCCTCCCATACTTCCTTATGCTTTGTCTAGGTTTTTGATCAGTGAGATCTCTTTGCATTTACATAGTAACTTGTTTCAGAGCCATTTATTGGATGATCTGTCGTTCCCCCACTGACCACGGCTGTCATAAATGAAGTGTCCTATGTGCGTGGTCTGGTTCTGGGCTCTCCTGTTCCTGTGGCCCAACGGCCTGTCCTTATGCTAACACCATACTATCTTAGTGACTATAAGAGGTTAAATAATATTTTTAGGAGGGTCTTGTCTATTCTTTGCCCTTTGCTCTTCCATATAAATTTTAGAATTGGCTTATTGAGTCCCTCACAAAATTTTGTTTGGATTTTGATCAGAGATTCATTGGATCTAGAGATCAAATTGGGGAGAATTGACGTCTTCCGTGTCATGAATGTGTTGTCTTTCCATTTATTTAAATGTCATTTTGAGCTTTTCAGTAAAGCTTTACAATTTTCACCAGAAAGGTATATACGTTAGATTAATTCTTCCGTACTTTTAAAGGTTCTTCTGTACATTTGTTGATGTTGCACATGTGCCTTTTTTTCTTACAGTTTTTTTGAGATATAATTTACATGCGATAAAATGCACCCACTTCAAGTGTACAATTCAATGAGTTTTGGCAAATGTATGCAGTCATGCAAATGGTGTTTTCATGAATTATGTTTCTCAGCAGTGTATTGCTGGTATGTGGAAATGCAAATTGTTTCTGTATCTTAATCCACTATCTGGTTATATTAACCTGATGTACTCATTAATTCTAGTAATTTGTACTCAGATTTTTTTGGATTTCCTATAAATAATTATATCACCTGCAAATAATGTTCATTTTGTTTTTTTCCCTCCCACTCCTTGTGGTTTTAAATATTAATCATACTTTATTTTTTCCCTTTTGGTCTTCTTGCCCTGGCAATATTGAACAAAAGTAGTTCGGTCGGCAATCTCCTGTTGTTGCTAATCCCAAGAGACAGCTTTCAGCATTCATTTAGTGTGTTATTTGATGTAGGTTTTGTAGAAACTGTTTATCAGGTAAAAAGAGCTTCCCTTGTATGCCTCGTTTGCTAAGAGTGCTTTTTTTGGGTCATGAATGGATGTGGAATTTTATCAAAGACTTTTCTGCCTTGAAATGATCATGAGAGTTTCTTTATTCTATTCATATAGTGAATTATATGAATTTTTAAAAAATATTTTATTTATTTATTTGACAGAGAGAGAGAGATCACAAGTAGACAGAGAGGCAGACAGAGAGAGAGGGAGAGGAGGAAGCAGGTTCCCTGCTGAGCAGAGAGCCCAATGTGGGGCTCAATCCCAGGACCCCGGGACCATGACCTGAGCTGAAGGCAGAGGCTTTAACCCACTGAGCCACCCAGGTGCCCCTATATGAATTTTTTTAAACAGCCATACATTCCTAGAATAAACATAAGTTGACTCTCCTTTTAATACACTGCTAGGTTTCATTTGCTAATGTTTTGCCTAGATTTTGCCTATGTTTAAAAGTTAAATTGTCCTATAATTTCCTTTGTTTTATTTTCTTTTTAGGGCAAAGCTTGCCCAGTTTGCTATCTTAAAAAGTTGAAGAGCATTCTCTTTTTATGTTTTTTGAAACAGCTTATTTAAAATTGGAATTATTTGCTCCTTCAATTTTTGGTGAAATTCACCAATGATGTTATCTCTGCCAAAAGGCTCCTTTGTGGGAAAATTCTGAACTGTGAATTCTATTTTTAAAACAATTATAAGACCTAATTCTTATTTCTTTTTGAGTCACTTTAGAACATTTTTTATTTATAAGAATGTGTCAGTTTCATTTGAATTTTCAAAGTTATTGGCACAAAGTTCATAACATGTGTCTGTGGTGTGTGTACTAATGTCTCTTTTAAATTCCTCTTTCATATATTTATGGTTTTTCTCTCTCTTTGGTTTTTCCTTGAACACATCTTGCCATGGGTTTGTCCCTTCCACTGGACTTCTAGAGGACCAACTTTTGGTTTTGATGATTCTCTTATTGTATGCATTGTATTTTTGGATATTATTTGTTTCCAACCTTACCTTTAGTATTCCTTTTGTTACAGTTTCTTTGGGTTTGTCTTGCTACTCTCTTTCTAACTTCTTTTTTTTTTTTTTTTTAAGATTTTATTTATTCGACAGAGAGCAAGAAAACACAGGCACGGGGGGAATGGCTGAGGCAGAGGGAAAGGGAGAAGCAGACTCCCCGCTCAGCAGGGAGCCCTATGCGGGACTCAATCCCTAGGATCATGACCCAAGCTAAAGGCAATTGTTCAACCAGCTGAGCCACCCAGGCATACCTCTTTCTAACTTCTTCAAAGATATGGTTAACTTACTCATTTCAGGTACTCCCCCCAACAATATAAGCATTTTAAGATTATGAATTTCTCTCTCTTCTTTCTGAGTGTGCCCAAGTTTTCTTATGTAATTTTGTATTGTTCTAAATATTTTCAAAGTTGTGATAAGAATTCTTTAAAAATACTATACTTTTGGGGCACCTGGGTGGCTCAGTGGGATAAGCCTCTGCCTCTGGCTCAGGTCATGATCTCAGGGTCCTGGGATTGAGCCCCGTGTCGGGCTCTCTGCTCATCGGGGAGCCTGCTTCCTGCTCTCTCTCTCTCTCTGCCTACTTGTGATCTCTCTCTCTCTCAAATAAATAAATAAATAAAATATTAAAAAAAAAATACTATACTTTCTTTTTTCTTTTCTTTTTTTTAAAGCAATCTCTGCACCCAGCATGGAGCTCACACTCACAACCCTGAGGTCAAGCGTTGTACACTCTGTGAGCTAAGCCAGCAGGCACCCAAGCAGCATACTTTCTTAATTTCCAAACATATAAGGATTGTCTAGTTGCCTTTTTGTTACTAATTTTTAGTTTAATTTTATTTTGGTCTAATAAGTGGTCCGGACTATTCAATTCTTTCAAATTTGTTTTGACATGCTTATTACGTGTAATATATGATCCAGTTTTTATTATGTTCCTAGTAGGCCTGAAAAATAATGTTAATTCTGTGCTTATTTGGTTTAGAGTTCCTAGTGAGTGAATGTATGTCCATTAGGTCAAGTTCGTTAATCCTGTTGCTCATATCTTCAAAACTACACATATTTCACTAAGAAATTGAAAATTTGTTCTTATCTAGTGACTATCTTTATTCCTAATAATTCTGTTTGTTCTCAAATCTATTTTATTTGCTAAACATCTTTTAGTGTCTTTTGCTTGTATGTGCCTAGTATAACTTTCCCCATCCTTAAACTTTTAACTTTTCTGTGTCCTTAAGTGTTCAGGATGCTTCTTGTAAATTGTAAGTGGATTTTAAAAATCTAGTCTGACAACCTGCCTTAACTGGTGAGTTTGGTCCATTTAAATATATTACTCTAATATTATTATTATAATTAGTCATTATAAGTAAAATTGGCTTTCATTATTGCAGTTATAAAAGTATTACTACTGTGATAATTGGACTTTTTTCTACTATCTTATTTTATGCTATTTATATTTTTAAAAATTCCCCTTTATTTGCATACCCCACCCTGGTCACCCTTTCCTCAGGGATAATCATTCTAATATGTTCATTGTATATCTTTTTACCAGGACATATTCTTGAAAACTAGGTAGCATTTTGTATGTTCTTTTAAAAAATTTATGTCAAGTGGCACTCTGCAGATTTTACTTACCCATTCTTCCTACCCAGCTGCCTGCAGATCTCTGCCT